GACTCAGTAACAGAGGTTCCTCAAAAAACTAAATATAGAATTACCATATTAGCCTCCAACTAATAAAAATAAATGAAAAAAAAAAAAAAGAATTACCATATGATCCAGCAATCTACTCCTGGGCACATATCCAGAGAAAAGCATAATCCAAAAGGATACATATGCTCCGGTATTAACTGCAGCGCTATGCACAATAGCTAAGGCATGGAAGCATCCTAAATGTCCATTGACAGATGAATGGATAGAGACATGGTGCATACAGTGGAATACTACTCAGCCATAAAAAAGAATGCAATGATGCCATTTGCAGCCACATGGATATAACTAAAGATTATCACCCTAAGTCAGAAAGACAAATACCATATGTTAGCACTTATATGTGGAACCTAAAACATGACACAAATAGAAACAGACTCACGGACATAGAGAACAGACTTGTAGTTGCCAAGGGGTGGGGGATGGGGGAGAGATGGAGTGGGAGGTCGGGGCTAGCAGATGTAAGCTTTTTTATATAGAATCGATAAACAATAAGGTCCCACTGTACAGNTAGTTGCCAAGGGGTGGGGGATGGGGGAGAGATGGAGTGGGAGGTCGGGGCTAGCAGATGTAAGCTTTTTTATATAGAATCGATAAACAATAAGGTCCCACTGTACAGCACAGGGCATTATATTCAATATCCTATGATAAACCATAATGGAAAAGAATATAAAAAACAATGTATATATTATGTGTGCGTGTGTGTGTGTGTGTGTGTATGTGTGTATAATCAAATCACAGAAAGTAGCACAACATTGTAAATCAACCGCACTTCAATTAAAAAAAATAGTTCAGATATGTGAGGGGATAAAATGACATTAAAGTTTAAGACAAGTTACTTCTTGGTGGTAAAACCAAAAATGTAAACAAACAAATAAATAAATTCTGGTGTAAAACAAAAGACATTTTCCCAGACCTGGGTCAGACGCTCCCCAGACATTATCATCTCAGCCCCCAGGACTCATTTCTCCAGGGGCCACTGCCCTTTATTTTGCCAGCCCATGTACTAACCCCTTGCCCTCAGGCTTGGACTTTGGGGCTACACCCCTGGCTTCAGGAAAAATGCACAGGGCCAGTTCTTCCAAGAACCTTTTTCTCCCTTGCTCAAATACTCCGTATTCAGACTGGTTTTAAAACTGCTCTCAGCCAACACAAGCAAGTTCCTCTGAGCAGGGAGGAGCCGCATGGGTGTCCCCCCTCACATTCATGGGGCCATGGTGAAAGCCCGATGTACTGGTGCCACGTAAGCTGACACCTTGGGCTTCTTTTCATATGGGATTTAAATATCATCTAGGCAGTCACTGTGCTCATCCACATGGAGACAAACCAGCGTTCTGACCGGACAAGCAGAGAGACTTCACAAAATGTGACCTAGGTATTCAAACATGTGGTATTGTGGGGGAAGCTGGAAAACAAATTGGTGGAGAGGATGCCTTTGATGTGTATCAACCTAGTATTGGGGGATTGGGTAGGGAGTGGGTCAAGGTGACAAGAGATGATCATCCCTGTGCACAGGGTTCCTTTGGTTATTCTTCTGTACAAGTTTAAAATGTCCCATGTGTGTGTGTGCATGCTAAGTTGTTTCCATCCTGTCAGGCTCTTTACAACCCCATGGACTGTAGCTGGCTAGGCTCCTCTGTCCATGGGATTCTCCAGGCAAGAATAATGGAGGGGGTTGCCATGCCCTCCTCCAGGGGATCTCCCCAACCCAGGGATCAAACACATGTCTCCCGTGGCTCCTGCATCGCAGGCAGATTCTTCATTGCCGAGCCACTGGGGATGTTAGGCAGTTCAGTTGCTCAGTCGTGTCGGACTCTTCATGACCCCACGGAATGCAGCACGCCAGGCTTCCCTGTCCATCACCAACTCCCGGAGCTTACTCAAACTCATGTCTATTGAGTCAGTGATGCCATCCAACCAGCTCATCCTCTGCCATCCCTTTCTCCTCCTACCTTCAATCTTTCCCAGCATCAGGGTCTTTTCAAATGAGTNGGTGGTCTGGTATTCCCATCTCTTGAAGAATTTTCCACAATTTCTTGTGATTCATACAATCAAAGGCTATAGCACAGTCAATGAAGCAGAAGTAGATGTTCTTCTGGAATTCTCTTTCTTTTTCTATGATCCAATGGATGCTGCCAGTTTGATTTCTGTGTCCTCTGCCTTTTCTAAATCTAGCTTGAGCATCTGGAAATTCTCAGTTCACGTACTGACAGTTGAAGACTAGATTGGAGAATTTTGAGTATTACTTTGCTAGCGTGTGAGATGAGTGCAATTGTGTGGTAGTTTGAGCATTCTTTGGCATTGCCTTTCTTTGGGATTGGAATGAAAACAGACCTTTTCCAGTCCTGTGGCTACTGCTGAGTTTTCCAAATTTGCTGGCATATTGAGTGCAGCACTGTCACAGCATCATCTTCTAGGATTTAAAATAGCTCAGCTGGAATTCCATCACCTCCACTAGCTTTGTTCATAGTGATGAAATGTCTCATAATAGAAGATAAAACATTGACAAGAATAAAAAGTCAAACTGGGTCACTTTGTGTGAACCTGGATGAGGCCCTCCCGGGTGCTGGGTGGTGGGAAAAGGCTGTCATTTCATTGAATCCTCCCTTATCTCCCTTATACAATGAGGAAACATACTAAGAGAAGCTTATGACTGATTGTTGAAGGTGCTGAAGCTGGAAGCATTGACTCTGGGTCAGGCATATGGTCAGTCTCTTCTTTGCTGAGCTGCCCTCCACTCTGCAGACAAAGCAAACAGGGGTGCAGTGTGACCTTATTAAAGACAACGTGGAATGATCTAATGGCTAGGAAAGGTTCCAGGGGTCATCCCTACTGCAGGCCCCCTCCAGCAATTTCCTGCAGTGGCCCCAGAACCTGTCTAGACACTGGCCGTGTAGGACATGGTCCTCCAGGGGTGGCCGGCTCCTCTGGCAGGCAGGTCTGCCAGAAAGCATTCACAAGTGGGAGGAAAACGACTCTCTAGTCTAATTTCCACCCATCTGTCCTCGTTCTGCCCTTCATAACCCCACAGGGTAATCCTTCTTCCCAGACAGTTTTGCAAATATTTGGATTCTGCCGTCTTGTGCTCTGCACACTGATCTTCCAGACTGAAGGTTCCCCGTGTGTCAACTACCCTCCCATGGCCTGCTGCTGGCTGTCCTTAGATCCCAAGCAAGGGCACTGTATTCTAGACGTGTCGGACCAGTAAAGAACAGAAGACAGCCCCCCGCTCCTGTATTTGCAATACTTGCTTTTATCCATCTTAAGAACGGGTTCCTTCTTGGGGTCTGGGATGCTGTTAAAACATCTCTTCCCATCAGGTTTTGGTCCAAATAGGATGGGGGAACACAGATTCTCAGACTTCTCCCACAGGAGGAGAGCTTGGAAGGTACATCTCCCCTGTGTCTTTCTCATAAAAGTCTCCAGCTATGAATGTGGGGCATGTGGTGCTCGTGGCCTCACCTGAGATTCTCTCCTCCATGCTCTGCAACCCTTAGAGAGGGTGGGACAGGGCTCACAAGGTCATCTGGAAGCATCAGAGCCAAGGGTCAAACTGGAGCCTATCAGATTCCAGGTCACGTTTCCCAACTACAGAGGCAGAGGGAGTGAACTCCTGCCCATCCCTACCTTCATCCTTGGCACTAGCTTCGCCATCTGAGTTTTGCTGGCCCAGTGTTGGGGCACTGGCGCTAAGGTCTGCCTATGGCAACCCCAGCATGAAAAGAGAGGAGGCCCCTGAAGAGAGTGAGGCTCTCAGTCCCATTATTGATCATTTAGGAATGGCTTCATTTTAAAACTCTCAGTCTGGTTACCAGCAGCTCCTGGGCATCAGGAAAGTGACCTCAGGTAAGCTGGAAGGGTTCCTGCAGCCTGGGATCTACAGCCAAGACTGGGGGTGGAGCGCCTTGACTCTTAACTAGCTAGTTAGTGGCTCAATCATGTTTGACTCTCTGAGACCCCATAAAGTGTAGCCCGCCAGACTCCTCTGTCCATGGGATTATCCAGGCAAGAATACTGGAGTGGGTAGCCATTCCCTTCTCCAGGGATCTTTCCCACCGAGGGATCAAACCTGAATCCCCCACATTGCAGGCAGACCCTCTGAGCCACCAGGGAAGCCCTGACTCCTACACTACACATAGGGGAATCCTGGCTGGTTCACTGGGAACTGCATCCCTTTCTCTGGACAGCATCCCTCAGCAAGCCTACTGGCCAGATCAACCACCTTCTCAGGCCCGTCACTTCTTCCTCCAGGGCAGAGGATTTGGAGCAGTCTTCGGAGGGCACCTAGGTTCTCAAACCAATGGGTTAGTGTAAATGTGTGTCACCAGGGGTGATCAAATGGTGAACACTGAGCAAACAGTTGGCATGGGGGCAAACAGAAGGGGTGCAGCAAAACCTGGATTGGTACCTACCCACCTCACCCTGGGTAAGTGGCAGAAGGCTTGGTTTGAAATGTTCTTATCCAAATTAGATTTGCTTAGAAACAAAGGCGCAAGCGTTCTCAGAGCCCACGTGCTTTGTCCACCCATTGGGCAGGTCGGGTCCCCAGCAGAACAGCATCAGAGCCTGGGAGTTCGCAAAACCTTGGAGATTTGGAGGAGGGTGGAGGCTCCAGAGGGTGAGGTTAGGTCAGGCTCCCAGAAGGGGCAATGCTTCAATAGCAGGTGGTGAGGAGGGGGTAACTGGGCACATCATCAGAACGTGTGCTGGACCCAGCAAAGGCCTGGCCAGGGCAGAGGTTAGCCTTTGGGGTGTTGGGGGGTAGGGGGAAAGGTGGAAGGTGGGGAGGGAAGAGGTCAGAGGGAAAGAGTGGAGATGGAAGGTGGCAGGGGCGGGTGCAGATGGAGGGAGTCGAGGAGTGCAGGAAGGTGAAGAAAGGGGAGGGAAAAGGGGAGGGACGGAGCGGGTGGGGGATGAGAAGTAGGGTCCGCCGCCGCCATTCCTGCGCCCGCGCTCGCCTGGCCCGGCACCGCGGGGCCGCGCGGCCAGGACACGCCGCGCCAGGTAAGGGGTGGCGGGTAGAGGGCGGGCGCGGGCGGTGCAGGTGCGCGGGGGCGGCGAGACCCTCCCCCAATCGGCCCCCGGAGCCCGCCCGGAGCCTCCGCCCCAAGACCCCTGACTCCTCCCTGGACTCCCGGGGCCTCCCCGGAGCCCCCTTCCCGGAGCTCTCTGACTTCTCCCCAGACCCCTCTTTGAGTCCCCTCCCAGGAGCCCCCAGGACCCCTCCCCTCCCCGGCTGCCTCCCTGCCCCGGCGCGCAGGTGGCTCGGCAACGCTTGGGGCTCGGGGCGCGCGGCAGACCCTGGCCCGGGGCGGGGGCGGCGTGTTCTGCTTGACCGGCGGCTCCCGGCTCCTGTCCGCCCGGCCCCCGCCCCACTCCGGCCATTCAGGCCTGGCCCGGCCCCGCGGCTTCTATTTCTGTCGGCGAGGCCGCGGCCCCCGGGCGTTAGACCCCGAGCCGCGCACTCAGACAGGTGGGGCAGGTCGGGGGCCCTGGCAGTGAGTGTTGCAGGCCTCGGCTTCCTTTAGGGTTTTGGCTGCGTGATTCTAGAATAGCCAAGGAGAATCAGCAGCCTTAGCTCAGGGCTGCACCTGTTGCCGCCGCCTGGTGAACTGCAGGAGACTGAATCCACTGGGGTTTTGCCCGTGCAGACGGTGGAAAGGAGAGTTGGGTCGTGATGGTCCCCTTCGTTTATTTCATTTAGTGTTGGGGATGGGGGTGTGTGGGCGTCTGGAGGTGGGCAGTTTACCAAAAACGAGGCCTGTGGTTCAGGGCAAGGGTCCCCGCTTTCTGGAGCGTTTGCTATGCAAAGTTGTTCTGCTTTTGATTCGAAAACCACCACTTATGTTAAGCACATCTAGGACTTGGGGACTGTGGCCAAGTGGCTGCCCCCCCCCCCCCCCCCCCCCCCCATTCTGAGTCTATTCAGATCCACTAGGCGCCACTGAGCGGAAGTTTCCTTTCCAAGGGTGAGTGACATCGGTGGCCTGTCACCTCATACCTGCCCCAGGCCTGGGGCCTGCCTTCTGGCTGCCTGGGTGCTGTATTTTGGGAATGTTTCGAAAACCACCACTTATGTTAAGCACATCTAGGACTTGGGGACTGTGGCCAAGTGGCTGCCCCCCCCCCCCCCCACCCCCCCCATTCTGAGTCTATTCAGATCCACTAGGCGCCACTGAGCGGAAGTTTCCTTTCCAAGGGTGAGTGACATCGGTGGCCTGTCACCTCATACCTGCCCCAGGCCTGGGGCCTGCCTTCTGGCTGCCTGGGTGCTGTATTTTGGGAATGTTTACTGTGTCCCAGAAACAGGCTGCCTCAGCTAATGCTGGGGCCAGGATTCTGGCAGAGATAATGCCCCGATTGTCACTTGAACCGTTGATGTCTGTGCACATCGTCTGCAAGAATAAAGAAGAATAAAGCAGACCTGCTCGGAGTACTCCAGGCAACCAGTCCTGCCAGGGGGAAAGCCTGCAGGGATGAGGGGATGGTGAAGAGATTCACTGGGGCATTTCTGGGGACAAAGGCTCTCCCCGCCAAGAGGCTAGACCTTCAGATTGCAAGGAGAAAAAAAAAAGTTTGTATTATGAACAGCAGGTAAACCAAATAAAGAAAGAAAAACAACCTGCTGACCCTGAGAGGCAACCCAGCCCTGGTCTACTCTTGAGCCGTGTTAGAGGACCGTGAGCTGGCATTTGAGAGGTATTGGCTCCCTATGATTGCTGGAAAATGCAGCGTTACCCCTCTGCTGGTAACGGGCGTGCTCTGGCAGCCTTCTTTGGAGTCCTGGCAGATGGTGCATCCACCCCAGCTCAGAAGTGGGGTGCAGGGCCACACTGCACAGCTGTCCAGTGGGTCTGGGGGCAGGGAGATGACCATAATGACATCATTCACTTGTGATCCAGTCCCTGTGGGTTAGCCAAGGCAGGTTTCATCTCAAGCGCCTTCCCCCCTCACCAGGCAGGGATGTCTAGGCCAGTCTTGGGAGCGCACGCTAATGGCTGACTCTGAGTGAGGGGGGAGGACCATCCGCTGGTGCCAGCACATAGCGAAATCAATAATGTGTTGCAGAGATCAATGGTTTTCTCATTGGTCCTCTGTGCTTCCAAAGATAGCCTGCCTCTCCCACACTGGGCACGGACAGGTTCAGGCCTCCCACCCCTCCCTCTGGGTTCTGTTTCTGGTTGGGGGTGGATGGGTGCGGCCAGGAGCCTCTTCCTGATCCCTTGTGTGTTGAGCCTGGGGCTCCTGGATTGGCAGCAGGGCCCTGTGTCCCCTCCCACCACCAGGAGTCCCCAGTGTCCCTGGGTTAGGCCCCTGCTGTTGCATAAGTGTATTGACTTCCCAGTTGTTCCTTAATTCACAACGACCTTCCCCTCATGCTAACAATTTGTTCAGAAGAACTCCTGAGAAGGTGATGTGGCAGGTAGTGCATCCCAGTGCCGCCAGCCCCCCATCCTGTCTCTTCTGGGAGTGACAACAGTGACCAAGTTCACCATCCAGGCCTGCAGGGTGGCCATGGGGTGAAGCTGGCCATGTAAAAATACACAAATGAATTTGCCACCAACTGACTGTCGAGGGTGGCTGCAGGAAGAAAGACTGCTGTCCTTTGTGGGGCTCGGCAGATGCAATCTCCCCTGCTCCACCCGTGCCTCTGGGGCCCTTGGCCATTCAGGGATGTCTCTGGGCGTCACCCGAGAGCGGGCCGGTCAGGCAGGCTCCTCTGCACTGGAGATTCGGCACAGCTCGTGGTCATTGCAGTCTGCCTGCTGTCAAAAGGTGATGGAGAGAAGTGGAGATTTATTAGGAGGAAATATCTGCTGATTCAGTCAAGTGGAGACAGCATGTGAGTGGGCCTTTCCTGGAGCTGGGCTGGCATTGTTCAGTGCACCATTTAAGGTGATCTTTGGGATAAGCAAATTGGCTCATCGCAACTCCTTGGAGTGGCTCACTTTGAGTTGCCTGTCCCTTCCTGAGTGCATGGTCATTTACCTGGAGATATTGTACCTGGACCGGACATCACAGCAGCCCGGGAGTCCCCCCATAGCTGCCTTCCAGCATGCCCTGTGATCCTCCAGTAGGACTGGGTCCTTTATTTGGTCTAAAAGTCTCAGGTGCTATGAAAGTGGACACTGCACCCCTTCCCCTGGTCACTTCTATGTATTACTCGGGATTGCAGCTTTGAACGAAATGCAGTTAACCAGCATTTGAGTCAAGAATCACTCCTTTCTGGGAGGGGGGACTGGGATGGGGAATACATGTAAATCCATGGCTAATTCATTTCAATGTATAACAAAAACTACTGTAATGATGTAAAGTAATTAGCCTCCAACTAATAAAAATAAAAAAAAAAAAAAAGAATCACTCCTTTCAAAAATAATGGTATTTAAAGTTTAAAGACAGTTGGGCGTTTGTTGAGTGAACAGTGATTTTTAAAAGATAATTATATTCCTTAACAACAGTATTGTGGTTATGTTCACACAGTCTTTACCCTTTAGCTGTAGATGCTGGGGTGATCTGCAGAGGAAGTGAGAGCCGTGTTTGAGAGCTGTTTCAGATTAGCGTGGGTGGGGGGTGGGTTGGGTGATGGAGGGGGCAGCATTGACCATGGTCGAGTGGTTGTTAGCTCTGGGTGATGATATCTGAGGGTTTGTTAGTCTCTTCAGTCTTTATCTTTAGTCTTTGAAAGTCTTTATCATAAAATAGTTAACGATCTAAGAATCCCATTTCCCCCTTTCAAATGCCATAGGATCCTTCACTTCATGGAGTAGTTGAGGTTTACTTTAAAAGAAGTGCTGATGAGTTAAGTGAAAACATTGCTTCTTAGTGTAGACTGTATAGAGTGATCCCCTTTACACATGTATAGGTCATAAAGTGTAGAAGCATCTGGAATGACACCCACCGTGTGTCAAAAAGTCGGTGACAGAGCACCCTTGGTGGATGAGGAGGGCAGGCGCTGCTCAAGACTCGGGGGACACGGCTCCGAGCAAGAGTAGGCTGTCCAGCTGGTGACTGGGATGTGAGGGAAGGATATATGTGGGCATGTGAGTTGTGTGAGCTTGGGTGTTGGCAGAGGGTTGAGAAGGGGGTGGAAGGGGAATCTCTCCTTTTACCCCCTCAGGTATTTCCATGCGGTTTGTTCCTTTTATAGTGGGATTGTTTTTGTAATGAGAAAAGGTATTTGAAAGAAGGGATCTCCATTAGGAAATGTGCTTAGTTGCTCAGTCGTCTCCAATTCTTTGTGACCCTAAGGCCTGTAGCCCACCAGGCTCCTCTGTTCATGAGGATCCTCCAGGCAAGAATACTGGAGTGGGTTGCCATGCCCTCCTTCCGGGGATCTTCCCAACCCAGGGATTGAACCCACGTCTCCATTGTCGGTGGGTCCTTTACCATCTGAGCCACCAGGGAAGCCCTTAGGGGATAGAAAAACCTGGGTTTTTTGCAATATTTATTTATTTAGCTTCATGGGCTCTTATTTGTGGTACTTGGGATCTTCAGTCTTTGTTGTGGCATGCAGGTTTGGCTTGTGGAATCTAGTTCCCTAACTGGGGATCGTATCCAGGCTCCACCTGCATTGGGAGTTCCGAGTCTTAGCCAATGGACCACCATGGGAGTCCCTAGAATAGCCTGTTTTAAATATTAAATTTCTAAATCTAAATTTATTCAAAATGGATTTGACTTGTAGGAATTCATGTTCCTACACAAGGTAATAACATGATGTGGCTTCAGTGAGGCAGTCAATGGATCCATAGGCATTGTTGCTCTGAGCCTGTGCTCTGCGGGCCATGAAAAAGAGACACCAATACCCTGACCTCAGCAATAGGGGGGATGAGACCCAGACCCTGAAAGTTTAACAGCAACACCGTTCCTCAGTCTGGGCAGTATGCTGAGGTACCATGCTGGCCCTGAGCCATGGGATGGGGAAGACCCTTAACTCAGACCCACAACGGTCCTGGTTTAAGTGGAGAAGCACATTTCCTTCCATGGGACTTGACCCAGCAGCAAAA